CCCCCCGGGGAGCGGGGGCCGGCACAGCACGGCCAGCTCCATCGTCGGCTCTTCGCTGAGCGCCTTCACCCTCCTGCCCTTGGCACCGAGCGGCGGAGGGGAAGACTGGCGGAGGCCACCTGGTGAGCGAGGAGCCCGGGAGATCCCAAGGGGGGAGTTTGAACTGAGCCTGACCGACCTCAGCAGCAGCCACGTCAAGGGAGGCTGTGGGTCGAGGAGGCACCAGCTGGTTCTCAGGCGGCAGAGCACCAGCTGCTTGCCTGATGCCAGGCGTCCTCTTTTCCCTGAGCCACCTCGGTCTCCGGCTGTCAGCAGGGGCCTGGACTCCAGCCTCTTGGTAAAGGCATCTTCTAGCTACTCCAAATCTCTGGATGTGGAGGGGTCGCCCCCCTCAACCCCTCCTGCCATCACCAGGACGGACTCCCAGAGCTCCCAGTCTGAGCCTTCCAGCAGCAATAAGGGCTACAGCCACCTGGAGGAGGCAGGCACCTCCTTGGAGTCAGTTGCCAACACCCCAGCCAGTAAAATCCAGGACTGTGAGGAGGAACCAGCTGAGAAGACGGATCCCCTCAAGGCTACCAGCAGAGAACAAACAGGGGAGCAATCCCAGCAGACTCAAAAACAGTACACAAATAAAGAGAAACTCTTTATGATTTCTAGGTCGCACGCTGCGTTAGGGCTGGAGGATGGGGAACTGGAGAGTACTGGCATCTAAACAAAGCAGAGAAGGCATGAGGATACCTTGCAACCCTCCACACCTTCCCCCCTTCTCCATCTCCTTGTGGACTTAGGAAACCAATCAATATCCAAAGAGCTGCAGTATGTTACCCCTGAAAATTGAATTCAGTAAATCTTGTAGATGACTTCAGGAAGAAGAAAATCCTTTCTGTCCGATCGTCATTGTATGTTCCATGCAAGCCAAATTGTATTAAATATCCACAGTTCAGTAAGTTCTTTGGATCAGATTAATACAATTTCGGACAGTGTAACTGTGCACTTTACTGTTTTGATTTCCAAGTGCCCCTTCTTCTCCTCTGATTTCTTTCTTGCTGATTTGCCACTAACTGCTTGAAGGCCGCAGGCACCTTTTTAAGCTCAAGAGCAACATGGTCTTCAGATCAAGAAAGCCGAGCTCTCTCTTTGTTTTGGTTCAATCACTAAAAAGTTTGCAAGGCCTTAAGGATGACATACCTTGACAAAGAATGAGTTGGTTTAAATTCTGGGAAAAAAATGACAATTTAGAAGAGACTGGAGCGGAACAGAGCTCTGATGATTTAGTTAAAACCATTACATTCCTAAATCCAAAATACCTACTACTACGTGATACTTTATTAAGTATTATTACACATGTATTGACTAATAGCATTAAATATTTTTTTTTAATAAAACATTTACAAACATAATTGCCACACAAAAAGTCCTTTATTTTGGTAAGTAATTACAGGTATCAGAAACCTTTTGTTTTTATACTGTGAAATAAAGTATATAGAGTATATAAAGTTTATAGAGATGCTGCGAGGCCAAAGGTTTGCTTATACTTTTAAGTGGGTAATTAATCATTTAGGAGTAATTTAAAAATACATACTGGTTCAGTCTCAGAGAAACTACAATTCAGAGTTAATCAGCAGATTCTGTCTCCATTTCTAACAGTGCTCTGACAGCTGAAGAAATGTGAGATTTTGACAAGCTAAGGAAAAAAATTTTTTCAAGGTTTGACCTTCTATTAAAATTAGATTTTTCATGAGTAACACGTTAATCTCGAACTGCAGCATATTCTTTCCGGATTTTTCACTTCCCCAATAACTGTTGCATTAAGCCTTTCTGCTGTTACCTTTCCTATTTGTGGATGCGTGTGCATAAGCATAATTTTAAAGCATAATGATAGCCCTGTCAATCTCATAGCAGTTGGCTCTATTGAAGTCAGCGGAGGTTTCTCACTGATTTCAGCGTGGTGAGGATTTCTTCCTGCGTGGGAAAAGCATCAAGTTTCCTGAAGGCTGGAGAACGCCTTGTCTGTAGGCAGATTTTTGGTAAATTGATGAGCTGTTTCATTTTCATAGCTGCAGCACGGCAGACACACTTTTATTTTGCCAAAACAGCTCTATGTGCTCAGAAGATTTTGTCAATGCTTCAGATTTTAAATGTGGATGTGGCATTTCACTACTACGGGTAGAGAAATCAACGTTAAACAAATACAGTGTGTAGGCAGGCAAGAGTCTTTCTGCTGCAATTAAATTTCTTCTTATGGTTTCATGTTTTAAAATGCTTAGTTACATATTTAACTACTTACATTACAATACATTACAAAATGGAATATAGCTATCACTAAATGCAACTGCATTTAGTAATCCAGCAAAATCCTTTATTAAATCAGGCTAATTTAAAAGAAAATAAGGAAAAAAAAATACAAAACAACAATTTGTTGTGTCAGAGCCTTGAAACTGGAGAAGCAGAAAGTGCTTGTTCTCTCAAGCAACGGAGACATCCATGTGACAGTACGTTTGCTCCTGTCAGTGGCAACCAGTGCATTGACAATACAAACATCAGTGTGGCATTTTTTGCACATAGCTGGCAAAAATACGTTGTAAAACTGCCTGGCCTGGCATGGGCTGGGTTAGGTACCACATGAAGTGGCGAGTGGGTGGCTCAGCTGGCGCTGGCATTTGCACGGGTCTTTTCTTTCAGTTCCCCATGGGCGATGGCCCTGTGCCTCTGCTCCTTCTCCTGTGACTTCCAGCAACGTTGAGATGTATCTGAGCAGCGTTACTTGGTGCTGACGGAGATGGTAGTTATTGACACAGCTGAAGGCACCCCGTTTTTTATTTTCCATGTGAAAAACCCTTCGTGGAGGTGCAAGGGAAGAGGCGAGTCATGGGTGCTGCTTACTGAGGCATGGGGTCCTTGTGAAGGTGTGCTTATTCCTGGAGGGGGAGACAAATGCATTTTTTAAAAAAATATTCTTAGTAAATACGTAGTCATCTGAATCTACAGTGTGCTATGGAAAAAAAAAACAAACCACACAACTTTTAAAAAGCCTCTGGGTACTCCTTAGCTAGATTTAAAATAAAGCAGCCCAGTAATTTTGCAAATGATTAATTAACTGCAAAGCTTTCTGAATAACAAAATTACAACAGAGTTTGAATTTAATAAGTAAAATTATGGCTTGTTCCTGTGTTGCCAAAAAAGGTGTGAAATATGAACTTTCATCAGTCAAGCTGGATTTCTTGTAGCAGCAGCTAGAAGTGATTTGTAACAGATTAATAAGCAGAGAAAACTGCCTCCCTGTTTGCAAGTTATCCAAAAAGTTCCTGTTATTTTTTGCAAATTTATCAATTAAAACTATATGTTGAGCAACTTACACAGTGGTGGCATGGAAGTCAGAAACTTTTGTTTAAAATTCAAGATGGGCAAGATTAAGAAGCCAATGTTGGAAAAACAACTGAGAAATTAAACCTCTGTGCACCAGTCATGACTGCTGTTAGTGCTGTTGGCCTTGGAGAGAAAAATGGAGGCTGGTAAGGAGCTGAGCCTTTCTTTCCTGGTCGTACCAGCAGGTGATGGGAGTGCTGGGGTTTCTGTGTTGATGTGCTCTTGAGTCTCTCCCAGCTGGCTCTAACTGCTTCCAGGCCTACCAGGCTGCCCATTGGCCATCGTTCAGCATGTGGCTCATGGATTTTTCTCCAGTCTCGTCTCTTCCTTTTAACCTTTGTCTCCAGTGTCCTGCCACCAAGTGCTTCCTCCACAGGCCTTGTCCAGAGCCGAGAAGCTGCCTCTGCTTGCCCATATCCACCCGCCTGCATGTTGTGGAAAGAGATGTGTGATATCCCTGAACATATGTTAAGCTAGAATACCTAGATGCAAATTTTTGCTATGAAACAATCAGATTTGTGTGTTTTATTTTGTTTTGTGTTTTAGCATAGAAGAAGTGCTATGGTATTTACATAAAATTTCCAGAGGAAAAGTTAATTTCTGCCTGAACCCTCAGAATACTCCCATCACTAGGTAGAAGGCTGTGTCTGTTCATTAGGAGTACAGATGCTGCTTGGACCAGTCTGAGGACATAGGCAAATGCCCTAATTGTACTTCAGTCCTGCTGTTCTTTATTACAAAATCCTCAGGACTCTGGAGGAGCTGCTGACATGATCGTACTGTAACCTAGTTCTGTCTCAGTTTTCACTGGCTAGCAAAGTATTTGAAATCCTTGCATTAACCTGGCTCACGTGGCTGAACTGATTTACCAGACTCCCCAACTGTTGACAGATCAGCTGATCTGGTATGAAAGACTATAGCCCAGATTTATTACCCTGTATTGTTTACAAACATTTTTAACAGCCTTTTCAAGGACTGAAGCTGTCCAACAGTAATAGTGCACGTACAAACATCAAATTAGGTAACAGTTAACATACAGTTTTAAGTCTGCAGTCTGAGATCGAGTATGAATTTCTATAACAGCCAAAACAATTTACACAGAAGTAGCAACATGACTTCAATTAAACAATATTTTTTATTAAAAGGAATGGAGACGGCACAATGATAAAGCTTATTGGATTTCAGTAGGAGGAATAGCCTTTGATAACGCTTAATGGTTTTTCTTTCTAAAGAGGAATATGTTCATGTGGATGCAAGAAAATAGGATTGCATTTATAGTGAGAAATAAGAATTAATAATAATTTAAGTAGATCACCAAGTAATGTTTTGCCTCATTAACACATTTCAGTCCCTCAAATTTCTCTCTGCTTGTGAAAAGAGGGA